AGAGGTAAAAGAGTTCAATAAAAAATTTCAGGTCAGCTTGAGAAGACAGAGCCTATTATAACAAACTGTACGAAGATCTGGAGTTAGAAACCAAAAGGGAAGACCACGCTCAGTATTTCTCAAGCTGAGAGAACTGAATAAAAAATGTGAAGCCTTGACTTCCAGTATTGAAGGATTCTATGGGCAAAATATTGAACAATGCAGAAAGCATCAAATGAAGATGGAAGGAATACAGAATCACTGTACCAAAAAGAAATGGTTGATGTTCAACCATTTCAAGAGGTATATGATCCAGGGCCAATGATACTGAAGGAAGAAGTCCAAGGTGCATTGAAGGTATTGACAAAGAACAAGGCTCTGGGAATTGATGAAACACGAATTGAAATCTTTCTACAAACTGACAAAACACTGGAGGCACTCACTTATCTATGCTAAGAAATTTGTAAGACAACTACATTGTCAACTTACTAGAAGAGATCCATATTTGTGCCCATTCCAAAGAGAGGTGACCCAATGGAATGCAGAAGTCATTGGGCAATATCATTAATATATTTTACAAGTAAAAGTTTACTAAAGATAACCCGAAAATGGCATTGACAGAGAACTGATTCATATGAGGACACGGAATGAGGGATATCATTGTCATATGGGTCTTGGCTGAAAGCAGAGAATATCAGAAAGATGTTTACTTGTGCTTTATTGACTGAGCAATTAAGTTGATCATGACAAGCTAATGGACAGCATTCTGGAGAGTGAATATTCTGTAACATTTAATTGTGCTCATGAGGAACCTGTACATAGACCAACAGGCATTTGTTTGAACAGAACATGGGAACACTGAATAGTTTAAAATTAGGTAAGGTGTGTGCCAGGATTGTATCCTTTCACCATATTTATTCAATCTGTATGAGAGCACATAATCTGAGAAGCTGGATTATATAAAGAAAAACATGGCATCTGCATTGGAGGAAGACTCATTAACAACCTATGATATGCAGATGATACAACCTTGCATGCCGAATGAAAGTGAAGAGGACTTAAAAATACTTACTGATGAAGATCAAAGACCACAACTTTCGGTATGGGTTGCACCTCAATGTAAAGAAGACAAAAATCCCCGTCACTGGACCAATAAATAACATCCATATAAACGGAAAAAAGAGTGAAGTTGTTGTTGTTGCTCAGATCAACCATCAGCACTCATAGAAGCAGCAGTTAAGAAATCAAACAATGTATTGCATTAGGCAAATCTGCTGTATGAGATCTCTTTAAAGTGTTCAAGAGCCAAGATGTCAGTTCGAGGACTAAGGTGTGTCTGACCTAACAAGCCATAATATTTTCAATAACCTCACTTGTGGAAGTTGGACAGTGGATAAGGAAAACCATAGAAGAATTGATGCATTTGAGTTATGGTGTTGGAGGAGAAATTCCATGAACTGCCAATAGAACAAACCAATCTGTGTTGAAAGAAGTAAAGACAGAATATTCCTTGGAGGCCAGGATGGCCAGACTTCATCTGTCATAATCTGGATATATTCTCAGGAAGGACCAATCCCTGGAGAAGGATATAATGTTTGGTAAAGTGAAGGGTTGGAGAAAAAGAGGAAGATCCCCAACAAGATGGATTAGTACAGTGGCAGCAGCAATGGGCTCAAACATAGCAATGATTATGAGGTTGGTGCAGGATCAGGCAGTATTGTTCTGTTACTCATAGGTTCTCTATGAGTCGGTACCAACTCGATGGCACCTGACAACAAGCAACCCATAGATAAAAAACCATAAGCACCAAGGTTAGGATTTGCAGCATACTTTGGAGAGACAGTGCAATCCCTAACAGGCAGAAACCATATATATTTTTTTAATATAAATTTTTATTGTGAATTGAGTGATAGTTGACATGAGAGAGCATCAGCTTCACATTCATCCTATCGTATTTCATTTCATTGCAATGATTACAATCCCTTCCATGCATCATTATTCAACAGCATTTGCTTCCAATCCCTCTGTTTTATTTTGGGATGTACACTGAAGCACTCAGGAATATTTAACTATTGAAACAACCAAAGAGTATACCCTGCACACCAGCCCACAGGCTGCCAGCACATAGCCCCTCTCCCTCCTTGAGTCTAGAGTCCCCAGCTGCTCCATTTCTCCACGTCATCATCTCTGCCTGTATCTCTGGCAACATTACTTCTCTGGATAGGGTCTTGCACTCTGCTCTTCTCCCTTCATGGTCACAGGGTCCTTCATTCCTGGACTGCAAGATCAACACGCCCCTCTTTTTGTTACAAAACGTTTACCTTTACATATGCAACATTCACAATAAGTCCTGATAGCAGTTATTCATTATTGAATCACAAGAGTCTTATCCCCATTTCCTTTCACCAGTCCCATCTTGATAGGTTGGAAACCACTCAGTGGAGATTCTACCTTCCCCTGCACCCTCTGAAACTTGTAAGCCAGTCATTTTGTGCCTTTGTTTCTCTCCACATCAGAAACCACATCTTAACTATCCTTTATTTTCTTAAACTTATAGAAAAGCACCTGGCATATAGAAGACGTTGAAAACACGTTGAACCAAAAATTACTCTGAGCTTTCCTACATAGGTAAATTTGAGTAGCATGTTTATGCAGAAGATGAATGCAGGTTGAAATAAACACAGAAGAACAACTTCAGTTTAAAAGAACAAAATAAACAGATTCATGCAATTAGCTCTGTACAAAGAAGAGGGAAAGGAACTAAGTATATATGCTTTCTGTCAGCAGCATGATATAAAAGTTTATACTTGTGGTGGTGGGACCTGCTCAATTTTTCTATTTCTCCAGGAATCCTGCTTTCTACATGCCCAGCTGGGAAAGCATTGGACACTTTTCCTGAACCATATTTTAGTATTCCTACATAATAATGTTGGCTATTGATAAAAATATCTTTTCTTCTTCGTTCAATTGCAGTAACAAGACAACTAGGTGTTGTTCTGTTGCTTCTACTTTTTATTATGGAAAATATCTAACTTACACAAAGTTTGTTGTTGTTGTTGTTGTTGTCAGGTGCCATCGAGTCGGAACCGACCCATAGCGACTCCATGCACAGCAGAACGAAACAATGTTCGATCCTGGGCCAACCTCACCACCGCTGCCACCCCCGAGTCCATCAATGATGCC